CAGCCAAGATCTGCTCTAGGGGGGGTGGGGGGAGGGGGGGGGATCGCGGGTGGGGCCCGCGCCGATCGGCAAAACAAGGAATGAAACAACGATCACACAGTGGATCTGGGACAGTGTTTGTCTGCCTTCCTCCACCTCTCCTTCCGAATTGGCCCCTCCTGCTGGTTCGTCGATCGCCCCCTCCCGCTCCCCTCGCCCCTCCCGCTCCCCCTGGGCCGTTGGCCTCTCCGCCCCTGGCTGGGGGCGTCTGGGCATCAGGCGAGCCTGGCGTTAAGTCGGGCCTGTCCCCCTACAGGTCGATTTGGACGAAGAATAGAAAATATACAAAAAAATACTCCCTAAATATTCAAAAACACTGGAAAACTAGTCCCCAAACTATTTTTGATTATCTTGGATCATTCCTCCTGCAGGGGGACAGGCCCGACTTAAGCCTGGCGTCCGCTTGCGGATGCTGGACCTGCGTGCCTCCTGCGGCCCCTGGCCTGGCACAGTGCCCGCTCCCTCCCTGGCTTCCGGGGCCTTGCTGCCTGCTGTTGGGCCGAGCCGTCGCGGGTGCTCTTTAAGGATCTTACACTGCACCGGCACTGACAACTGCTCGCACTACCGCCAAGATGGGCCTGTCCCCATACAGGGGGGCGTTGGACGAAAAATTATACATAACTATATATATATACACATATACACATATACAAATATATATATATATATATATATATATATTACCAAAAAACTGCTCGTAAATAGTCAGAAGATGGTCCCCATACGATTTTTTGACTATTCTTGAATATTCCTCCTGTAGGGTGACAGGCCCTACTTCACTCTGCCGCCCAAAACTTTTTAGACTTTTCGGGGCTGGATGTCGATTTGGCAGCTTGAACGCCGTCCCCTCCCCCTCCTCCCCCCATGGCAGTATTGAAGGGGCCCTGGAGCACACAAATAAATACACACAAATAAAAGGATTCCCCATATTTTCCCATATTTTCTGGGTTTTTGTCTTCCCCCCCACTTCCCATATTTTCCCATATTTTCTGGGGAGTCGACGATTAATTGTGTCTGTGTGTTTCTTCCCCTCCTGGTGCACGCCGGTCCAGTTTCCAGTGTGGTGGGGCGGAGGGAGCCCCAGGCCTGCCCGCTCCTCCCGGGCGGAGCCCGGGGCCCCTCGCTCCCCTGCCGCGCCCCCGGCGGTGGCTGGTCCCGGTCGCTCCTACAGGGCAGTGTATAATACATGGGATGTTTTTGTTTTAACATTGGATTTTTAATACGTGACTAGTTTATGAGTAAATTCATGCATGAACGCATCGTTGTTTTTAGTACTAGATCCCTGCATTTTTGATACATGATCCGCACGCGGAGCATGTATTAAAAACGGCACTGTAAGTAGAAGCACCTCGACAAGCATCGGCCGGTTTTGAGAGAGAGAATGTGACAATCGGTTTAGTTGCGCCTCTCTTCGAACAATGCGGTGTGGCAGCAAACAAGTATCATGGTCGGCATCATCATCACCAGCAGCAGCATCATAACAAGAAACATCATCATCAGCATCATCATCACCACCACCACCACCATCATCATCATCACCATCAACAACAAGAAAACAACAATAACAATAACAACAATAGCCGCAGCAACAACAACATCAACATCGTCAGAATCACCAACATCCTCACCATACTCATAATCCTCGCCAGATTGGTCATCAGCATCATCAGCAGCATCATCGTCATCAGCATCATCACCATCATCACCATCACCATCATCATCATAAGCAAAAGCATCATCATCATCATCATCATCATCATCATCATCATCAACATCATCATTAACATCATCACCACAATCACCATCATCATCATCATCATCAGCATCAGCATCATCATCAGCACCATCATCTTCATCATCAGCATCATCATCATTACCATCATCCTCATCATCATCATCAGCATCATCAATATGATCATCAGCATCAGCATCATCATCATCGTCATATTCATTGTCATCGTCGTCGTCATCGTCGTCGGCATCGTCATCATCATCCTCCACATCTGTATCATCATTAGCAGCATCATCATAGTCATCATCATCATCATCAGAATCAGCACATCGCCATCATCATCGTAATCCTCTGACGCAGCAGCATCGTTATCAGTGGTGCTACCACTATCATGATCGTACTCATAATCGTAAGCATCATTATCAGCATCATAATCTCGTCATCGTCCTCCTCATCATCAGCATCAGCAACATCATGAGCATCATCCTCATCATCAGCAGCATCATCATCAACATCAGCAATATCATCATCATCATAATCATCATCAGCATCATCCGTATCATCATCATCATCATCATCATCAGCATCATCAGCATCATCATCATAGTCATCATCATCAGCATCAGCATCATCAGCATCATCAATAGCATGATCGTCGTCAGCATCATTATACTCATAATCCTCGTCAGATTCGCCCGCGTCATCCTCCTCCTCCTTCTCCTCCTCCTCATCCTCATCTTCCCCCTCCTCATCATCCTCATCAGCAGCCTCATCGTCGTCGCCGTCGTCGGCATCGTCATAACCATGATCAGATTTAGTCATCATTACCAGCATCACCATCATCATCATCATCACACCATCATCATACTCGTCCTCATCCTCATCATCATCGGTATCATCATCATCATCATCAGCATCATCATCATCATCGTCATCATCATCATCATCACCGTCATTATCATCAGAATCGTCCTCAGCACCAGCACACCACCATCATCATCGTCATCCTCTGCCGCAGCAGAATCGTTATCAGTGGTGCTACCACTATCATGATCGTACTCATCATCATAGGCATCAGCATCAGCATCATAGCCTCGCCATCGTCTTCCTCATCATCAGCATCAGCATCATCATCAGCATCATCCTTATCATCAGCAGCATCATCAGCGGCATCAGCACGATCATCAGCATCATCATCAGTATCACCATCATCATCAGCATCATCATCAGCAGCAGCATCACCATCATCATCCTCATAATCATCGTCAACATCAGCATCATCATCATCAGCATCATCATCAGCATCAGCATCATCATCACCAATAGCATGATCGTCGTCAGCATCATTATATAATCCTTGTCATATTCGCCCTCGTCATCCTCCTCCTCATCCTCCTCGTCATCCTCCTCATCATCATCAGCAGCATCGTCGTCGCCGTCGTCGACATCGGCATCACCATGATCATATTAATCATCATCACCAGCATCACCATCATCATCATCGCACCATCATTATCCTCGTCCTCATCCTCATCCACATCATCATCGGTATCAGCATCATCATCATCATCATCAGCAGCATCATCAGCATCAATGTCATCAACATAAGCACATCGCCGTCATCATCGTCATCCTCTGACGCAGCAGCAGCAGCGTTATCCGTAATGCTCCATCCTTATCATGATAATAATCATAGGCATCATCATCAGCATCATAGCCTCGCCATCGTCCTCCTCATCATCAGCATCAACACCAGCATCAGCACCATCCTCATCATCACCAGCTTCAGCATCAGCATAAGGATCATCATCAGCATCATCAGCAGCATCACCATTATCATCCTCATCATCATCAATAGCATGATCGTCGTCAGCATCATCGAACTCATAACCCTCGTCAGATTCGGCCACGTCATCCTCCTGAGCCTCCTCTTCATCCTTCTCCTCCTCCTCCTCGTCCTCCACATCATCAGCATCATCATCGTCCCTGTCGTCGACACCGTTATCACCATGATCAGCTTGAATCATCATCACCAGCATCACCATCATCGGCACACCATCATCATCCTCATCCTTATCACCATCGGAATCAGCACCTCGCCATCATCATTACCACCATCATCATCACCAACATCAGCATCATCATCATCATCATCATCAGCAGCAGCAGCAGCATCATCTTCATCATCATCACCATCACCACCATCATCATCACCATGAGCATTAACATCGTCATCGTCGTCATCATCATCAGCATCATCATCATAAGCAAAAGCATCATCATCACCGTCATCAGCAGCATCATCGTCATCATCGTCGCCATCAGTCTTCATCAGCAGAAGCAGCAACCTCAACATCGTTAGCAGCATCATCATCATCAGCAGCATCATCATCATCATAAGATTCATCATCATCATAGTCATCATCATCATCATCATCATCATCATCAGCATCACCATCATCAGCACACCATTATAATCGTCATCCTCATCCTCATCATCATCAGAATCAACACCTCGCCATCATCATCACCATCATCACCATTACCATCATCATCATCACCACCATCATCATCATCATCATCATCATCATCATCATCATCATCTTCATATTCATCTTCATCTTCATCTTCATCATCACCACCATTACCATCACCATCATCATCATCATCATCATCAGCATCAACATTAACATCGTCATCGTCGTCATCATCAGCATCATCATCATAAGCAAAAGCATCATCATCAGCAGCAGCATCATTATCATCGGCATCATTGTCGTGACCATCATCAGCAAAACATCCTCATCATCGTCGCCATCATTCTAATAAGCGGTATCGTTATAACCATCAGCAGCAACAGTCGTCATCATCATCAGCATCATCAGCATCATCATCACCACCATCACCATCATCATCAGCATCATCGTCATCATCAACATCGTCATCGTCATCGTCTTCATCCCCAGAATCGCATCATCAGAAGCATCATCATCATGGGCATCATCATCATCATCATCATCATCATCATCATCATCATCATCATCAGCATCATCATCTTTATTATTATCGTCATCCTCCTCATCACTTTCCTCATAATGTTCATCATCAGCATCACCATCACTATCACCATCACAATCACCATCCCCCATCTTCCCTCCTCCCCTCACCGTCTCCTCGCACCCGAGTGCGTCGCCACCTCCCCTCAAAGACCCCCTGTTCTTCTGGCCATGGCTTGAGACACGCAGAGACGAGGACAGCAGGCCTGCAGCCAAGATGAGCGAAGGAGAACCGATGCCCTTTGACAGAGGCGAACAGGGTAACTCGCTGGCGCACAAAGCGAGAAGGAAGGCGGGCAGGCCAATCGTCGGTGCCGAAGGCTTCCCCCCCTTGCCCGGAATCATGCCCAGCACGTAGGCGTTGGGGTCTGGGCAGTCGGCGATGGAGGTGCTGCAGAGAATGCGCCTTGGCGCAGTCGCGGCTGTGCCCCCGCCCACATCCCTGCCGGCGTGTCCTGTCCTGACGTTATGCCGTTCCCATCGTACTTCCGGACCACATACCAGAAATAATTTCGAGCACCCAGAAAGTATCGAAACAGTGTCCGACGAGTATCGCCTCCCGGGGCACGACACGTGAAAACACTTCAGTTTCGGTACTTTCTTGGTGCTCGAAATTCTGTCTGGTGGTCAAGGCTAAAGTAGGCTGGAAAAGCATAATCCTAACGATGTCCTCTCATCTGCTTGAGTATCGTTTATCATGTTTATCCGATCCCCATCTCCAGCGGCGTGGCCTGGGCCCCACTGGCCGATCTACCCCCCTGGATGGGGATATGATTAGGCTGTTCACTTCGGGTTTCGAGGGTGTATCCCCAACTGGGGGGGTAATTTGGTGGGGGTCTCGAAGGGGATGGGGATGGGGATGGGGGTCGGTTAAACGATACCGATATGCTGGCCAGGCTGGCAGCCTCTCTTCCGCAGGAGGACTGCACCGCTGGCGTTGCACTGGCGCAGCCCCCTCGCCAGACCTGCCGCCGCGCCGCGAGGCACCGCGCGGAGTGTCGCCAGGCCCCTCAGAAGCTCCAACAGTGAGCACTGGAGGTATGTGAAGGGACCCTGGGACACACAAATAAATACACACAAATAAAAAGATTCCCCATATTTTCATATATTTTCTGGGTTTTTGACTTAGCCCCCAATTCCCATATTTTCCCATATTTTCTGGGGGATCGACGATTAATTGTGTCTGTGTGTTTTTTCCCCTCCTGAGTATGCATGCCAGCGTCGACCCCAAAACCGTAGGGTATTGCACTGTGGATTTGTAGGCTGCGCGGTGAGGGCCGCATGGCGAGAGGTGCGGCAACGAGGCAGCAGCGAGGCGGCACCAACCGGGCACTCACCAGCCGAACCCGAGGCGACAACGGGGCGGCACCCATCGGGCACCAGCCGAAACCCCGATATACCTAGGGGGCCACATGCGAACCCTACCCTAACCCCCCACGATTTCTGAGGGGGAGGGTGGGGTTCACTTCGTTCGGGAGCTCCCGAGCGAAGTGAACCCCACTCTCCCCCTCAGAAATCGTGGGGGGTAGGGGTAGGGTTCGCATGTGGCCCCCTAATACCCGCCCAGCGCACGAGGCGGCAACGAGTCGGTAATAGGGTGGCAATGAGGCGACACCAACAAGGCACCAGCCAAAACTCCGACACACCCATCCGGCGCCTTCGGTGGCATCCTACGGGAACCTCCAATGCCATCTTGCTGGCTCTTGTGAATCGACGCTGACCGACGCTGGTCAACGCTATGTCGACGCTAAAGGAATGCTAGAATTGACGCGAAGTCGGAGCGTTCTCGTCGACTCTCAGACGCTAGCGCACACGAATGCACTCTAAAGATGGAAGTTCGAGAGCACACGAGGCTCCCATGACTTGCTATGCTAATGAAGGCGCCCGAGGCGGCAACGAGGCGGCACCAACTATGCACCAGCCGACACACCCACCCAGCGCGCGAGGCGGCAGCAACTGGACACCGGCCGAAGCGCCGACACACCCATCCGGTCCACGAGAGGCGGCAACCAAGCGGCAGCCAGGCGGCACCAAGCGGGCACCAGTCGAAACCCCGCCACATCCATCCAATCCCTTAGTAACCAGAGTAAGAATGAACCCCTGAGTGCGAGCACTGTTTGGGAGAGGGGTGTGGGGGTTCCAAGAGGCCCTCAAGAGGCTTTCCAAGAGACCTCATGCACACATACATACATACATACATACATACATGCATGCATACATACATGCAAACGCACACATACATATAGACCGACGACGAAGATGGTAATGTTGATGTTGGTGTTGGTGTTGATGATGATGACGGTGGTGATGATAATAATAATAATAATAATAATAATAAGAATGATGATGATGATGATGATGATGATGATGATGATGATGATGATGATGATGATGATGATGATGAATGAATGATGGTGAAGATACTACTGATGATGACTATGATGATGCTGATGCTGTTGATGATGGTGTTGTCGATGATGATGATAATCATGCTGACGATGGTGATCATGATGATGATGATGATGATGATGATGATGATGATGATGATGATGATGATGATGATGATATGAGTGTGGGGTTATGGTGTTGATGATGATGGTGTTAATGATGATGATGATGATGATGGTGATAATTATGGTGATGATGATGATGATGATGATGATGATGATGATGATGATGATGATGATGATGGTGATGGTGATGGTGATGGTGATGATGATGATAATGATGATGTGTGCCTCGAGCCTCGGGCTCGGACCGCATCACGGCCCTCCGAGGAGAGATGAGCGCACCTTTCTGCGGCCACGTCCATGCGATGTTTGGCCTCCCAAAAAGGGGGATACAAAACATGCCTCGGCTACACAAACCAGGGAGGGGGGATCCGTGGCCCCTCCCCCCTCCCCCCAAAAAATAGGCAAGCGCGTTCCACTACCCGCAAAGTATACACTCGCAAACGGCCTGGATCCAGCGCGGGGGATCTACGAAAATTTGCATCGAAGCAGACATCTGTTTTTCGAACGTTTGCGAGTAGGCACTCTGCGAGCAGTGGAACGCGCTCGGTGACCAGAAGCGCCCCCCCCGCCCGCCCGTGCGCACAGGCTGAACCGCGCGGCAGCGCAAGTGGATTGATGTGATGTTCCTGGATCGGTGACTCCGAAGGGCGTGGTTTGCAGAGGGTGCGGTTTGCAACCAGAACCCCAGGGGGGGCACCCTGGGGGGCAGGCGGGGACCTCGATAGAATTCTCCGCCGTGCCCAGAGGAGGCCCGACGAGGACAGCGTCGTGCCCCCCAGGCCCCAACGGCGCCGATCGCAAATCATTTGTACAGTCGGACCCAAGACAGGAGAGCAGCCTTCAAGAACATGAGGCCCCCCGCTAACCAAAACACATAGAAAATCCAAGGGTATCCTCCCCCAGGATGCACAAGAGCATCCAACAAGCACGAAAAATAATAGGGCACCCGCCCCGAGCCGACCTCTATCTCATACCAAGACGAAGCCAGGACGAAGGTAAACTCGGGTGAGGATAAAATCGGGAATATGTGAGACACGGCGGCTCTGGAATATGTCTCGAGCGCCGCGGCCTTCGCAAACGTTCCGGAACGCTTCGAGAGCGTTCCGGAACGCCCTAGAAAGGATTTACCCTCGTCCTAGCCTTAGGTCGGGCACGTCCTCCTGCAGGCGGCTTCTGGAAGGAAGAGAAAAGATAGTCAAGAAAGAATCAAACATGGTCGAGAGAGCACGAAACATCGTCCCCAGACTCTGTGTGTGTTTTTCAAATAAGGAGCCTACAAAGGACGTACGCGCTCAGCTGTGTACATGAACACGGCACCTCGATCCGCGAGACCGGCCGCGGTATACGAACATTTGCGCAATGCGTACTCTCGAAACCAGCGTGGATCCATGTACGTGTACGTCCTTTTGTCGCTCCTGATCAGAGCCACTACGAAGCAGTCCTCATGTAGAGGGACATGCCCGACTCGTGCCCCACCCCCCCGCTGCAGCGTGCGCTCTGACGCCTCGGGTCTGGCGGCCGGGAGCTGGCCAGGCATCGACTCCTCCCTCCTCCTCCTCCTCCTCCTCCTCCTCCTCCTCCTCCTCCTCCTCCTCCTCCTCCCTCCTTCTTCCTTCCTTCCTTCCTTCCTTCCTTCCTTCCTTCCTTCCTTCCTTCCTCCTCCTCCCTCCTCCTCCTCCTCCTCCTCCTCCTCCTCCTCCTCCTCCTCCTACTCCTACTCCTACTCTTACTCCTCCTCCTCCTCCTCCTCCTCCTCCTCATCATCATCATCATCCTCCTCTTATTATTCTTATTCTTCTTATTATTATTATTATTATCATTCGTATTATTATTCTTCTTATTATTATTATTATTATTATTATTTGTAGTATTATTCTTATTATTATTCTTATTAGTATTATTAGTAGTATTATTATTCTTATTAGTATTAGTATTCTTATTCTTCTTAGTATGATTAATATTCGTATTATTATGATTCTTCTTAGTATTAGTGTTCTTACTTGTCTTCTTATTCTTATTCTTATTATTATTATATTATTAGTATGTGTATTCGTCTTATTATTCTTCTTCTTAATATTAGTATTATGATTAGTCTTATTATTATTATTAATATTAGTCGTATTCATATTATTCTTCTTCGTATTATTATAAGTATTGGTGTTATTAATTTTATTAGTATGATTAGCGTTAGTATTCTTATTACTACTACTATTCTTATTATGCTTATTCTTATTCGTATTATTATGATTATGATTATTCTTCTTATTAGCATTGGTATTATTATTCGTCTTAGTATTGGTCTTATTATTCCTATTCTTCTTACTAGTATTAGTATTGGCTTTAGTAGTATTAGTACTATTATTATCATTGCTATTATTAGTGTTAGTATTATTAGTATTAGTATTATGCTTATTATTCTAAGTGTTCGTCTTATTATTCGTCTTTTTTATTCGTCATATTATGCTTATTCGTCTTCTTCTTCTTATTACTAGTAATAGTATTCTTAGTATTTATATTAATCGTATTAGTATTATTCGTATCATTTGGATTATCCATCGTATTATTATCATTATTGTTATTAGTAGTATTCTTATTCTTCTTATTAAAAGTATTATTATTCTTATTCTTATTCTCATGAATATTAGTATTCTTCTTATTATTATTATTATGAGTCGTATTCGTCTTCTTCTTATTATTATTCTTATTCATATTAATATTCTTCGTATTAGAAATATTCGTTGAATTAATATTAGTCTTATCCTTATTAATAGTATTCGTCTCTTTCTTATTATGCTTCTGCGTCTGCTTCTGCTTCTGCTTCTGCTTATGCTTATTAGTATGATGTTTCTTATTCTTAATAGTAATATTATTCTTATCATGATTCGTCTGATTATTCTTATTATTCTTCTTCTTATCATTATTCTGCTTCTGCTTATTATTATTCCTCCTCCTCCTCCTCCTCCTCCTCCTCCTCCTCCTGGGGCCCCTGGGCCTCCTCCCGAGAGAGAGGGTGGGCGCGAGGCCCGCCGAGAGCGCGAAGGGACGCGGGTGAGAAGGTGCCCTCCACCACCCTCGTCCTAGCCTTCGGTCGGGCGTCCCCCTACAGGGGGGCTCGGGCGAAAACTTACAAGATAGTCCCAAAAAACATTCAAACATGGTCGAAAATAGTCCAAACTAAATCGTCCTCGTCCGATTGTTGGACTATGCTTGGCTATTCCTCATGTAGAGGGACAGGCCCGACTCGACACCACCCTCGTCCTGGCCCCGTCCGATGTACATCCCCAGACGTCTGGCTGCTCCAACTTTTTCGATGCGCGGGCCCCGGAGGTCTGGACCACTTCCCCAGGGCCGGCTTTTTCGTCCCGAGACGGCTTCTGACGGTCCCGAGGCCCGGCGAGGGACCCTGGAGGCCGAAAACGGCCAAGAACCTGCCGCTCCAATTTTTGCCAGAGCGTCGAATCTCAGGGTCGGTCCACCTGCAGCCGCCGACACCGCGCAGCCCTCCGAGGGGAGCGCCGGCCGGTCCGGCCGGGCCCGCGCGCATCTTCGCAGTGGGCGAGGAGCTGACGAGGAGCTCCGCAGCGCGAAGGGACGCGGGTAGTGACTACCTCCCAGACCACCCCAACCCGACCCGAAGACCCGAATTGGACACCCGAATGTCAGGTTGGGGGGGTACGGGTTCCGTATGTTTTTTCCATGTTCCCCGACCCCCCCCCACTGGAAATGGAGGGCAAACTGAAGCCTTCGGGTCGGGTGGGGGTGGTTTCGGTGGGTGGTGAAGTAGAAAGGCCCCCTCCACCACCCTCGTCCTGTCGGGAGCGGCCAAGAGGGGGGTGTCCAAGAGGGGGGGGGTGCAAATCATGACCGGCGGCATGTGCGCGGCCCAGCGGGGGGGCCTCGGACGTAATGAAATAAGAAGAGGCGCCATGAAATCTGAGGAAAAATCATGGCCCGGGGGTGCAAATCATGACCGGCGGCATGTGCGCGGCCCAGCGGGGGGGCCTCGGACGTAATGAAATAAGAAGAGGCGCCATGAAATCTGAGGAAAAATCATGGCCCGCGCCATGAAATCCATCCCCCCCTAGTCATCACCCCCCTCTTTGCCGCCCCCGATCCTGGCCCCGTCCGATCTACTTCGGTCCGGCTGGAGCCGCCGACGCCGCGCCAGCCCTCCGAGGGAGCGCGCAGCCGGCCGGGCCGGGCCGAGCGCCGCGCCTCTTCACGGTGGGCGAGGAGCTCCGCAGCGCCTCGGGCCGCGCCCCGGCCGCGCGGCCAGCCCCCGAGAGGTGGGCTCGGCCGCTGCCAGAGGCGATCCGCCGCCGCTCCAGACGAATCCAGGACGACGAGGAATGCGGGCGAGGATGGGATGCACAGAAACATACTAATACTATGTGTCCGCCTTGGAGGCGCGCGTCCGACCCGAACATATAGCATACCCATCTTGTAGTATATCGTTTCCCGAGCGGTGTGGCCAGAAAGCGCCCGCCACGACGCACATACTATAAGAGTTCTCGGTGCGCGCGTCGCCCCTGGGGGGGGCGACGCACATATAGTATAAGTCTGTGGGGGTGTTGCCGAGAGGAGAGCTCGTTTGAGATGAGTATGTTGGGAGGAGTATCGTTTCACCGATCCCCCATCCCCAGCCGCGGGGCCTGGGCCCCACTGGCCGGTAGATATATGCCCCCCAAAGACGGGGGATGAGGGGCCCTGCTCCCTTCGGGCTTCGATCGGTGCGTCCCCCAACTGGGGGAGGGTGACATTTGGTGGGGGTCTCGAAGGGGACGGGGATGGGGATGGGGGTCGGAGAAACGATGCTGGCAGGAGCAAAGATACGCCGCAGACAGAAGCTTTCGGCGCTCCGAGCGGATCTCTTGGATCCGCGCGGGGCCCCCCGGCGGCGCCTCTGGCGCGGCCCCCAGCGCGCCCCGCGCGCCCATGAGAGGGGTCCAGCGCAGATCCAAGAAATCCGCGCGGAGCGCTGAAAAGTGCATGTTTCTGGCGCCTCTTGAGGGATGCAAACTACCCTGGGTTACAAGTGCGTGGTCTGTAAACCTCCTGGGAGCTGTCAATGGCCAGAGAGCCGCCAGGACGCCGCGCGACACGCGCGATATATGCAGGGTTTACCCTGTCAGCCCACAGGAGGTTCAGCGCACAGCGCCTCGTAAACCAGGGTAGGGGCGTTTTTTTACGCCCTTGAGTGTCTTCTTCTTCTTCGAGATACATCGAGAATCTCTAAGTTCTGGCGGCTCCGAGGGATGTCTCGGGCGCCGCGGCCCTCTCAGAGCGTTCCGTAACGCTCCGAGAGCGTGTCGGAATGCTCCGAGAGCGGATCTATCCTCAGGTCGGGCATGTCCCCCTACAGGGGGATTGTGGGCGAAACAATAAGGATACCCAAAAAAATCCCAATAATATCCTAAAGAAAATCAACAATTGTCCCCAGACTATTTTTGTTTACTATGTTTGAATATTCCTCCTGTAGAGGGACAGGCCCGACTTAAATCTATCCTCGTCCTAGCACTGTGCGACCGCTGGAATCGACGGCGCGCCTGGGGGTGGGAAGGAGGGGGAAGGTTTTAGGGCGTCCAGCCTCGAGATGCGTGTCAGCGGCTCCGCCTCGCTGAGAGCGTTCTGTGGGACGCACAGAGACATACCAGTACTATATGTCCTCCTTGGAGGCACGCGTCCGACCTGAACATATAGTATACCCATCTTGTAGTATGTCCTTTCCCGAGCGGCGTGGCCAGAAAGCGCCCGCCGCGACACATATACTATAAGAGTTCTCGGTGCGCGCGTCGCCCCTGGGGGGGCGACGCACATATAATATAAGTCTGTTGGGGGGACGCCGAGTCTGGGGATGCCTGAAATGGCCGCTGGAGAGCCGAGTTATAACCCGAAAACAAATTTCGGCGGCGAGCCCGAGGGGGAAAGTGAGCAAGAGCGGGCCTTCTCAGAAGGCTCGAGAGGCCTGTGGTCTTCCGAGAAGTGTTCTGAGCTTTCCGCGAAGACACAGAAGACTTCTCGGAAGTAAGACCCGGGTACAGGGGACTCGGAAATCCCCGACGAGGTCGTCAAAAAAATGACGAGGTCGAGCCTGCATTTTTACCAGGCCTCCCGCTGCAGACATCCCACGAAACTCCTACTCGTCAAAATCCGTGGCACGGTCGTCAAAAAACGATGGCGAACCCGAGTCCTGGCAAACCCGGGTCTTACGCTCCCCGGACAGAGGGCTTCTGAGGAGTCCTGCCGCCTTCTGAGAAGACCTCCTCCGTCTAATTTCTCTGGGACGTACTGACCCAGGTAACGCAAAGCCGGATCAGTCAGGCCTTGCAGGATCCTGCGAGATCCTGCAAGATCCTGCAGGATCCTGCACGCTAACCCGAGTCAGCGCAACATTGGCTCTGCAGAATCCTGCAAAATCCGGCGCTCTGAATGATCCCCCTTTGCATTGACCCCCCGTCCCTTGAGCCCCGAACTTCCCCCCCACGCTCGCCGCCGGTAGAATCGGAGGTCGGTCGGTCTGTCAGCCCGGTGCCCCGAGCCGTTCAGCCTAGTGGGGGGGCTCGGAGCACTGGCGGCGGTTCAAGCCGCGGCCTCCAGAAGGCGCGGTGAGGTTACCGCCGATGATGTTACCGCCGCCATGGCTGCGGCACCCTTCCGCAGCGAAAGGCTCGGCGTGGCAGCGAATCGCACGATGACTGCCCGAGAGAGAGAGAGAGGAAAAATAAATATAAAAAAAAATAATAAAAAAAAAAAAAAAAAAAAAAAAAAAAAAAAAAAAAAAAAAAAAAAAAAAAACGAGCCAGACCTCTGGGTGTGGGTGGTTTCGCGAATCGCCTGTTCTGAAAGAACAAAAAACTGCTTTCCCTTCGGTGGGGGCTGAACCACCCCCTGCCATTAGGTCTCGCACCCGAGCGTCCCAGGGCCTGCAGTTGACAAATGCGACAATGGCTTCAAAATGGCTCCAGGTATCTCAGGACGGTCTCAACGATGGCGCTGCATGGCCCACGTTGGCCCAGACCTCCAAAGCGTTTCCAAGACGCCCCAGGAAGGCCCCAATACTGCTGAGCCTACAAAGGAAACACCCGAGGGCAAGAACAATTGAAAGGTAAGGTTGCCCGATCGTTTTGGCCTTCCCGCCTGTTCGGTTTCCAAAGCGCCTCTGAGGTCTCAAGATAGCCCCACGACGGTCCAATATGGCCGGGTTCCAAAGCCCCACCTGAAAGAGACAAGAGGGCCACTGGAGAAAATCGCCCGGGGCCAATAAGGGGGAAGCGTACAAAAGAACCCCCCCCTCCCCTTGTATCGATAGCTTCCAGCGTGGCATAAAAAAGGACTCGAAAGGATACCAAAGGCTCCAAGATAGCCCCAAGATAGATGGCCTCAATGAACTTCCATCTGGCCCCAACTTGGCCACTGCAAGCGGGGTAGGCCCTCCTTCGTTTTGACTGGTATCTCTCTCCCTCGCTGTTTCACGAAAGCTTTTCCACCCCGCTTCTCACGACCACTTGCCCTGGGGCAGGTTGGTGGGAGTGCGGGAAAGTCCAAGAGATCATTGGGAAGAGTTGCGGAATGATCTTGGAACCGCTGAAAGAGGCACCCTCACAACACAATGGTAAATCCGCCGACCCCTTGTGGGTCTCTAGGCGTGTGAGATAATCCCCCCCCCAATCCCCCCCCGCCCAGGGACCCCAAACCGGCAATTCGACCCCCACCCCTGCGCCCAGCCCGACCCCGGACCGAACGCGTCACGGGGGAGCGGAGGGCTCCAAAACTGGCCGAGAAGGCATCAAAACCCTCCCCAGACGGCCCCAGGGGGCCACGATTCGCATAAATATCGCCCTGGACGCCCACGATGGCCTCCAGGCGGCCTCCGAAGCTGCCAAGACGCCCCAAAAGGCCCCCAAGATGCACCCCAAGAGGGTCCCCAGAAACAAAAATCGCCCCATTCCCTTCGAAAAACAAGCATTGTTCGCATGCTCGCCTATTCGGTGTTCACCACGTCCCAGACGGGCAAAGACACTTCCAATATCGCCCCCAGACGGCCAAAGGGGCCCCAAAAAGGGGTCGAAGAGGGTCCAAAAACAGCCCCCGAAGCCCCCAAGACAGCCCAAAAGGGCCCTCTGACGGCTCCAAGACGGAGCCGAGAAGGCACCTTTTTCGAGCCTCCGGCCCCAAGACGCCCCCAGCCTGCCCCAAGAACAGCCCAAGAGGCCCTGAGGGACCCCCAAGAGAACCTCAAAGGCCTCCAAGAAACCCCCAGGAAACCCCCAACAGGCCCCAAAACTTGGCCCAAGATGCCTCGAGGCGGCCGGATAGGACCTGCAGAAATGCCAAGATTCCACCAAGAGGCCACAAAAGAGCACCAAGAGGTACGGTAACAACAACGAAGCAACAAGAACGATACCGAGCGCCGTGTCATGATTCGGACAAGCTTCGTGAAATGCAGCGCTGGAGGCGCAGTAGTATATATAGGGGTCGGCGGATGTGGCGTAAGCCTACATAATCGACCGTTGCCACGTCAGAAACACTGTGGGAGGCAACGGAAAACGACGGCGCGCGCGCGCCCCCTGAGCGGCATCGCATATCTCCGTCAGGTGGGTATGTCGCGCGTCAATATTGCGCTTCAAACAGCCACAAACTGCTAAGATAAATAACGCTATCGTGGTCCGTGCTTCACCGATGCTGAATGGGCAGCAGCGCAACGACGATCAACTACAAGTTGTATTAACAAGTTGCGAACACATCAACACAATGAGGTGCAAGCCGAAGTTCGTGGAGCGCATGCAACAAAACTCGACGTGTATACATCGACATACTTCTCGGCATGCAGTGCCGCATCCGGCTGCACGGTGCCCACCGGGGCCGCAAGCGAACCGAGGATGAGGAGGAGGAGGAGGAAGAAGAGGAGGAGGTGGAGGAGGAGGAGGAGGAGGGGGAGGGGGAGGAGGAGATGGAGGAGGAGGAGGAGGAGGAGGAGGAGGAGGAAGAGGAGGAGGAGGAGGAGGAGGAGGAGGGAGGAGGGAGGAGGAGATGGAGGAGAAGGAGGAGGAGGAGGAGGAGCATGAGGAGGAGGGAGAAGGAGTCGAGCGCGCCGAGGCGCTCGGTCTTGCCCCCGCCGCCTCGCAGGCCGCGCGCCCCCGCGCGCAGCCGCGCCACGGCCTCCGCGCCTAGCCCCTGCTCACGGGGGCGCCCGCGGGTGGGGAGCGGGCCGCGCCAGAGTAGTTCTCGAAGATGTCCTCGAGGTCGGGCAGTTCGATCTTGATCCGCTTCGTCAGGGACGAGCCAAACTCGCCCGCGCACATCGCGCGCCTCGCAGAAGCAAGCGCCAGCCGCTGGACACGGGCAGGCTTGTCTGCTGCGAGCGACGCCCTCGCGGCCTCGAGGGCAGGGGCCAGCAGCGCGGACGAGTAGTTGCGGTGGTCCGTCCCCGCGGACACAATATGGTGGAACGTCTCGACGAAGGGCGGCGCATTCCACCAGGGCGGTGAGAAATGCTGGGCGACCCGAGCCGCGCCCAACAAGGTCTGGTCATCTCCGCGCTGGCCGAGGCCCCGGCGGAGGCGCTCGCGAATCTCGGGGAACTTGCGGAAGGTGGAAGTTGCAGCTCGGACGATCGCGCAATCATCGCGAGCTGCATGGACCCTGGCGCGTGCACACCCCAGTCTCGTAGCCTCGGCCAGTCCTTGACCATGAACGCACCAGTGGGGAACCTCGAGACAGAGGCACTGACCCAGTCTTAAGGACTCGTGGGGCAGCATCACACACTGGGCCAAGTAGCTGAGGACAGGGAGGGTACGGCTGTTGAACAGCTGGGCGGAGCCCATCGAAGGATCGCCACTAGCACTGAGGCCTTCTCGTCGATCAAGCCCTCGGTCGCTCCAGGCCCCAGGAGGAGACCGAGGTAGGTCGGGCGGTCGCAGATGTTGAACCCCTGGAAGCGAGGGGCGATCACGGCCAGGGCGCCGCGCAGCTTGTTCACGAGCTCGTCGTCGACAGGGCCCGCGAGTGGGATGATGCGGCACTTGGCGGGCTCCAGCGCGCGGCCCGCGAGGTCAACCATCACCCCCTCCAGGTGCGCGAGATGGATGGCCGCAGCAAGCACTAACCCGAGGTCATCAGCACAGGCACGGCACAGCCCGCAGCCCCTGAGTTCGAGTTTCTGCTCGAGGTCGAGGAGGAAGCAGGAGGCGCCCATCGCGCAGAGGGCGCTACTCCACCCACACCCCTGGATGATGCCCGAGCGGATGTTATAGTTATATATCTATATACACATACATGTGTGTATATATATATATATACACATATAACATATATATACATTTAAACAAAATATGTAAAACACGGAGCGCACGAGCCCGCGCACGGGGCCATCGCGAGGATGTCGTGGCACACCCAGTCGAAGAAATTCAAGACAGCTTCAGGTGCGCCCATCGCCTTCAGCGCGAGGCGGGTAAACTGGTGGGCGAAGCTCGGGAAGGCCTGCGCGATGTCCAGCGACGCCAACACAGACAGCTTGGCCACGGCGTCGTGGTCGGCGGACGCGACGCGGCTCTCGACGTCCAGCTCGAGGATGTTGTAGCCGAAGTTGCGACGCTGGATGACCCCGCGCCGCGATGCTGGGACCACGTCGGCAGCCACCGCGGCCATCGCAGCGTTCATCGTGCTGCTGGTGATCTTGAGGGAGGTGTTCCGAAGCCCCAGGACTCGGACTTCGGATGGGTCACGGTGGCAGCCGATGTGCTCAGCGTCGTCTGGTTCTTCCCTTTGGGAAGACATGCCTGAACCGTCGCTCGGGAAGGAGGCCGCCGTTGAGCACCCGGGCCATGACTTGCCAAAGGGTCTCAGTGCACTTCTCATGCGCGGACCACGCGACGCACGGGGAGCCCGTCCATGCCAGGAGAGGTGGAGGATGATCTGGTCGCCAAACTCTTGAGCGCGTCGTGATCGGGGGGTTGGCATCTGTTGAAGTCGATCTTGGGCGCGCAGCAGTCGAGGCAGCACTCCGCCGCCACGGTGTCCACAATCTGGACTTGGAAGACGGGCTGCCAGTGTTCCATCAACTTCTGTAATCTCTGTCGGTCCCGTCAGTCCCCGTAGCCGTCTTCACGCCAGTGAGCACTAGGCGTCTGCTGATCGGGTTCCAGAGCTGGATCTCGCGATGCAATGCTTGGGACTGAGCGCGGGCTTGGGCATGAGGAAGGCGCCCTCGCTGTCGTGCCAGGTCGATGGCGGCTCGCCGTTGATCAGCGTCTCGGCGGAAGAGGGCGCTGGCCCACTCCTCGAACGAGGCAGGGCCAGTGAGCTTGATCTGGTCACTGCTGATGTCTGGGATGTCTTGAGCTTTAGCGCGAACACAAAGGAATCTGGCCGCCACCGTGCGATCCTGGCGCCAGACCGCACGGGCCAGCGACTTGGCCAGCTGGAGCTGGACACCCCCCTGCTCTGGATGATCTTCGTGACTGCGGTCTCGGGCAGCACGCGCAACTTCTCGGAGGAGTTCAGCATTCTGTAGCAATCTAGCTGGTGGAAAAAGCTCGTCGAGGTCAGTGCGGGAGGACACCCTCTCCGCAATCTGCTTGAAGGTGGGCGACTTGAAGATGCACCGGGCGATCGGCTGGCTCTTCTCAGCCTTGAGGTCGCGCATGGCGAAGGAGACAAGAACTGCGGCGCGGTCGCTGACCCGTCGGCGGGACAGCACTCGGGGGTGGAGATGGCGGTGGAGGCGACGGTGAGCTGGATCATCTGGGAGGGCGTGCTCGAGCAGAAGCAGCGGTCTATGGTCGACTCCGCCAGTGTCTCCGCACAGAAGTGAGGCGCTTGAGCGCGCCATGCCACTTGCGCGCCGACGCTTTGGATGTCTCGGTAGCCTCCGACGAGGCTCTGGCGCCGGGCACTGCGAGCTTCAATGCTCCGACGGCGGCGAAGTTGAAGTCCCCGATGACGACGAGCGCGATCTTGCTCGGGTCGGCCTTCGCAAGGTGCAGGTCGCTGTTGATCTTGGCCGAGATGCGCCTGACCGCCGCATTGTTGATCTCGTGGTTGTGGACGTTGTAGAAGATCAGCCTCTGGTCGTCGGCCTGGAAGACAGTGCGCAAGACACTCCCAGGGAGGAGGGCCTCGCTCACCGCGTTGAGACCTGATGGGAAGACTGTAGCAGCACCGCCATTGACTTCCCCATGGCGACCTGGCGCGAAGGAGGAGCGCATGGATTGCTTAGCGCTGATCTTCCGCATGAAGGCGAGGAGCTGGGCGCGGCCCTGGCGGACTTCCCGGATGCCGAGGATCATCTCGTCGAGCGGGAGGGAGCGCAGGTAGGAAGACTTCTCCACCACTCGGCGCCCTTGGTAGCTGAGGTGAGCTCGTGCATTCCATGTCCCCACCACCAGACTCGGATATGTAACACACGGCGCACGCTTCAGACCTTTGGTAATCTTGTCAAAGCCAGAACTGGGGGGCAGCCTCGGGCGTAACCACATCGTTGATTGCGTCCTGTATCTGCGCGCGGGTGATGCCCAGAGCGGGGAGGCCCGTGCCCTGGTAGGCGATCGTCGTAGCTTCATCACGTCTGGGATGGACTGTAAAAGAGAGAACGGGCGACCAGTTGGCCGAGATCCAGCCCTTGGCGCGGTCGCCTGTCCAGGTGTGGTTAGGGAAGGCCCGCTCCAAAGCCTGGCGGATGCGCTTGCCGACGATCTCTGTCTTGATTTGCTTGGGAGACCTGTCTGGCCCCACCCGGAGCTCGACAGACCCATTGCCTGCAATAGCTGGGGCACTGATGCGGGACCAACTGCCATCACGATTGCGGAGACAGTCCAAGGCTTTCTGAACTCGGCGAGCGGCGGGCCCAGGCAGGCCCGTGAACTCGATCGTGAAGTATCTGGAGGTGTCTTGGCCCTGAACCTGGAAGTGTGATTCCTCGATGCCGCTGTCGGTGATCCACTTGGTGAGGGCCTCTGTCGCTTTGTCGAATGTGACCAGGCCATCAGCATGCACCTTGACAATAGTGAGGTCCACGTCTCTGTCGAAGCCGCGGCCCACGAAGGTCTCCTGCACCGGTTGCTTGTTGGCCACCTCGAGAGTTTTCTGGAGCGCCGCAATCTGGTCAGACATGTGGAAGATGGCCTTGTCGGCCTGGTCCTGGCGGTTCTCGATGTCACCCATGCGTTGGGTGAAGGCATCGAACTGTTGCTGGAAGGACTTGCGGGTGGCATCGATCTGCTGGCCCACGGCGAGGCCGACTTCCTGCTCGATCTTGCTCGAGAGGCCGTTGATGCCAGCTTGGGCCGCGGCGAGGGCAGCAGTGATGGGGCCCGTGGCCGCGCCCATCGCCGAGGAGACTGAGGCATTGATGGTGTCCCTAATGGCCGATTCCATGGAGTCGAGCTTGTCTTTGAGGGACTGGACGTAGGCCATGGTGGCGAAAGTGTCGAGGGCGGACTCATCATTGGGCGGTGGAGTCCTCGAGCGATCACTCCGCCCACCAGGAGGATCAGCATCAGCAAGACCCTTGCGCTTCTGGATGCCACCGCGTCGGAGCGCCCTATCTGCGACCGTGGCTGAGGGAGAAGCATCCGCCATGAGAGAACAAAACTGGGGAGACGTACGATAAACGGGACACCCTTGTCCCGAGTATGCTCGAATGCAGTCCGCGGACTAGCGGTCTCCCTTCGGCCAGGAGGCTGACAGCCTCCAAAGGTCGGCATCTTGAGCCCAAATGGCTACGGAGGAGGAGGGAGGAGGAGGAGGAGGAGGAGGAGGAGGAGGAGGACGGGCCGGGTCACCTAAGCCCTTCGGAAAAACCCTCCATCCGGTCCCCACCGCTTCTCCGCGCACACTCCCTTGCCGTCCCCATTGCGAACGCAGCCCTCCTCCTCAGCCCTTTGTCCGCCCAAGATCGCTACTCCGATCAGATGCCTGCTCATATCTACCCCCCTCACAGCATTGCCTTCCGTCCTTCCCCCACGCGGCCTTGGAAGCCTCGCGGCTGAGGCGGTGATCCTTGATAAAGTCATCGACCTCCCTGCTAGTCGGGAGGCCCATGGACATGGCGACATTGTTCCTTGTAGCCCCCGTCCTCTGGACGGGAGGAGGAGGGGATGAGGGAAGGGTGGGAAACGGAGAGGGTGCGGGGGACAGAGGGAGGAAGGTGAATGGGAGAAATGAAGGGACGTGAAGGGAAAGAAAGGTAAAGTGATATCAGGGAAAAGGCAGGAGGAGGAAGAATAAGAGAGGCAGACGAGGAAAATACGGGAGGGTGGGCGGCGAACAAAATAAACCTGGCACAACCTAAAGGCATCCACGTGAAATACAATGCAAGGAAATGCAGGGAAATCATGTGCAAACACTACATAGCGTAGCATTGCATGGCATAGCCAGATATGACACAGCACACCACAACATAGCAAAACATAACACGGTATGGCATTGTACAATGAAGCATAGCATGGTATACCTAGTACCGCACAGCCTGGTACAGCACGGCATAACATGGCATAAACACAACTTGCGCAGGGGACTGGCGCCCAGGTCACGAGGAATCGGCCTGGCAGGTGGCACTAGACGGCGTCAAGTCTAATGGAGGAATCTGGGGGGGAGGACAATTGGCATCGTTGCGTAACGAGTACGAAAGAAATACCTTCACTATTACGTTATACGACGCCAGGGCTACTGAAGTTTCTTCTCACCTCGTCAGCCGAACCACTGCTGAATTACGTACTGGACGTGTCTATGAGGATGGATTGCGCTGCAAAGCACGACTCCAGTACTGTCCGGTGCTGAGTAGAGAATGGGGATTCGATCGTGCAGGGCAGGAGGAAGGGAGAGGGAGAGGAGGAGAGAGGAAAGAGGCGGCGAGGAAAGGAGACGAGATGATCGAGGACAGCTCAGAGGAAAGAACGAAAGAGCACGGGAGGGCGAAAGTAAGGTATGGGTCAAGGCAGGACATGAACACACCCACACACACACACACGTATACAAACGAGAGGGGTAGGGGAGCAGAGAGAGAGGGGGGTAGTGAGAGAGAGAGGGGCAGTGAGAGAGAGAGAGAGCGAGCGAGAGAGCGATGAGCAGACAAGCGAGGCGGGCTGAGGCTGCAGCACAGGAAGGGAGGGCGAGCGGATAGCGTTAAGTCGGGCGTGTCCCCCTACAGGGGGATGGTGGGCGAAAAACATAAAAAAATACCCACAACTACACCCCAAATAAGCAAAATTACCCCAGTGCGACCCTACCTAGAAGTTGGAGCCCCTAGGAAAGCAGCATTAGTTGCTATGCTATCCTATGCTATGCTATGCCATGCTATGCTGCGCTATGCTATGCTATGATATGATCTGCTATGCTATGCTATGCTATGCTATCCTATGCTATGCTATGCTATGCTGCGCTGCGCTGTGCTGTGCTGTGCTGTGCTGTGCTGTGCTGTGCTGTGCTGCGCTATGCTGTGCTATGCTATGCTATGCTGCGTTATGCTATGCTATGCTGGGAGTTGCTATGATATGCTGTGCTGCGCTATGCTATGCTACGCTCTGCTATGCTATGCTGTGCTCTGCTATGCTAAAGCTCGGCGAAGCTAAGATGAAGGTAGGCTAAGCTAAGATAAACCTGAGCTAAGATGAAGCTTAGCTAAGCTAAGATGAAATAAGCTAAGCTAAGATGAGATTAGCAACGCTAAGCTAAGGGGACGCAACTGGGGGAACCGCGGGGCGGATGCCGGGGGAACCGCCCGGGGCGAGCCCCACTGCCCGGCCCCTTTAAGCTTAGACGGTAAGAACCCTTCTAGGCAGAGCCCAGGTAGGGAAATAGTCAAAAAAAAATCGTTCCCTGACTTTATGTTTGCCTATCTTCACATGTTCCTCCGGTAGAGGGACACGCCCGACTCAAAGTATAGCGAGGACACAGACACCAAAGGAGCCGAGAGGATCTTCCCGTCGCTCGGCGTGCGCGCAGAGGCCCCCCCCTGGCCAGGCCGCACCGGCAGGGCGGCGCGCTCCTGATCTCCACCTTGGCGTCCTTGATGCGGACGAGGATCGCGGCGGAGGGGTTGCGGGCGCTGGTGATCCCGCCCCGCGCGATGACCCTGCGCTTGACGTCGTCGGACGAGGTCCTCTCGGGAGCCCGAGGCTCGGCTCAGACTGCGAGCGGCCTCCTGGGGGCCTGCACGCAGCCTCCCCCCGGGAGGGCTGGCCCGGAGACGGGTGACCATGGCTCCGTGCACGCAGGCAGGATGATGAAGATTGCCAGCTTCTCAACCGATGGGAAGGGGACTCCGCCGAGCTAGAACAGGCCGAGAAGGAAGAGGAGGACCGTGAGGAGAGAGCGAAAGAGAGAGAGAGAGAGAACAACAACAACAACAACAAAAAAAAAAAAACGAGAGAGGGAGGTCCGAGAAGCAAGATGCCGAATGCGGCCCACACGACGACAACGGGCTGGTGGGTATCAACGCCCTTTAGCGGTGCCATGCCTTGGTTACCCATCTGTAGCACGGCGGACGGCAGGACCCACCGTCGGATGGGGGGAGTTCCTGATCTTGCACTGACGAGTGTTATCCGCAGGGAACCCATCCCCCGATGCAGTCTGCGCTGAGGCGAACTCGAACTTGAGGAAACGAAAGCGGCAAATCCTGAGCTCATGGGCCGCGCGGTCGTCGATTTCCGGCGACTGGAGCAGCTCCTCAACCTGGGCATCCAGCTCGTCCACTGGGTCCTCTCGGGAGACGGGATCCGCAATGGTGGTGGCAGCGGCCGCAGCAACAGCAGGAGGCGAGATGGAGACCAGGGACAGGGAGCGCGAAGCAGAGCGTGTAGAGCGCTGCGGCCCGTCCCGGAGCACCGACCGACACGCAGAGGGGCGAGGTGGAGGAGGATGCGCAGAAGGTTGAGTATCGTTCAACCGATCCCCATCCCCAGCGGCGTGGCCTGGGCCCCGCTGGCCGATTTGCCCCCCTGGATAAGGATATATGTCGTTCCCTTCGGGTTCCGAGGGGTGTATCCCCAACTGGGGGAGGGTAATTTGGTGGGGATCTCGAAGGGGATGGGGATGGGGATGGGGATGGGGGTCGGTGAAACGATACTGAGATGGGGGGCCACATGCGAACCCCACCCCCATCCCCCACGACTTCTTGGGGGAGGGTGGGGCTCACTTCGTTCGGGAGCACTCCCGAACGACGTGAACCCCACCCTCCCCCTGAAACATCGTGGGGGGTGGCCCCTCGGCGGTGGACAAACTTCCCTTTAGTAAACCTCCCCTTAGTGAAAACGGCCTGGGACTGAAACCGACGGACCTGGACCCGCAAAAATGACGGCCGCGACGCCCTCTCGCGAACCGAAAACGGCCAATTCACTAATCGACGTGTCAGGGTAGGAGGTCTGTCCACCCCCGAGCCCCTACTGAGAGCGGCGGCGGCAGCGGCAGCGGCGGCGGCAGCGGCGGCGGCAGCGGCGGCAGCGTCCCGAGGCCCCTCGCGCCGCGCGGCGGCGCCGGAGGGCGCGGCGGCGCTCGAGGCCGCGGCGGGCTCCGCCCGGGCGGCCTCCTCGGCCTGCGCAGGGAGCCCGCCGGCCGCGGTCAGCTGCGGTGAAGTCGGGCCTGTCCCTCTAGAGGAGAGATATCCAGAAATAATCCAAGCATTGTCTGGGGACGAGGCTTGGACTATTTCTGCGCATGTGGGAGGGCATTTTTGGGGTATGTTTCATCTCTCGTCGAAAATCTGCCTGTGCCTGGTGCCCAGTCTGGCGCCCAGCCCGACGGCGCGCAGGACGCCTCTCCTCCCCCATCGTCCCTCCAACCGCGGCGCTTCTCGGCGTCTTCCTCCTCCTCCTCCTCCTCCTCCTCCTCCTCCTCCTCCTCCTCCTCCTCCGTGCCCCTCGGTCATCCACCCTTGCGCTACTCGCGTCTCGCCTTTGCAGGCTCCCGGCGCTTCAAGACGGCTCAGGAGGTCCCCAAGGTGAACTCAAGACGGCCCAGGAGGCATCCAAAGTTGCTCCAAGACAGTCCAGGAGGACTGCAAGACGGCCGTAGAGGTCCCCAAGACGGCCAGAGAGGGGCGCCCCTGAGGGAATTCCATCTCGAGCCCTCCGCCTCGAGATGACCCCGGAGACCGTCAGCAGGCCCTAAAATGCCTCCATTGAGTCACGGCCAAGGCGCCCCAAGAGGCCCTCGAGAGGCCCCCGGGAGGCCCTCAAGACACTCTGAAGCCGCCACCAAGAGGCTTCCGAGAGGCCTCCCAAGAAATCTCCACAAGCATCCAAAAAGTCCCCAGCCTACAGCCCAGGCACGGTGGCGCGTGACGGGCCGAAGGCATCCAGGTAGTGCTGAAGCCCAAACGGGGTTTCGCTCCAGCATTGCACTTTTACTGGGCGAAACTAGAGAGCAGAAAAAAACACCCCTCTAGTAAGCACCCCGATAAACGAAGCCGTTCAGCAAACGCACCCAAGGCAGGAATCAAACAGGGCAGGGCTGTTTAGTAAACGCCAAGGGACGATTGGGAAACGCCCAAGTATCGGGGTCGGGGTGGTTATTCCTCCCTTGAGAAGCGTTCCAGCAAGCGATGCAGAAAACAAGGGTGCGCTTTCTACCGAGTGCGAGCGTTCGAGCAGCCCACGGCGTGCGCGCCAGCACTGCATCTCTACTGAGCGAAATCCCTCCAGCAGCTCCAATGGAAGGCAAGGGTGTACCGCCGTTGCCGTCGCCGCCGCCGCTGCCGCCGTGGTCGTCGCCGCCGCCGCCGTCGCCCTCGCCGCCGTCGCGGTCGCCGTCGCCGTCGCCGCCGTGGTCGTCACCGCCGCCGCCGCCCTCGCCGTCGCCGCGGTCCGGTCACAATTTGTCACTGGCCAAATATGTACTCACTGCAGTGGGCTCTCCAAGATGCATCTGAGACAAGAGAACATACAACATGGTTGCCATATGTGATGCCTCCCACGCTCATCTGCCCGAACGCCACAAGAAAACCTGTGAGAGGATGAAGGCGGCCCCAGAGGGCCTCAATGAAATTCCCAGATGGCCCCAACACTCACAAAAGAGGCCTCAACAAGATCAGAGGACCCCACAAGGTGGCCCAAGACCACCGACTGAGCACGGCTCCAAGACGGCCCCTGAGCCCGCCTAGACTGCCACTTCATCAGGCCCAAGAACACCCGACTGGCCTCAAAAAAGACACCAGAAGGCCCCAAGAAGCCCAAAGAGGGCCCCCCAAGCAGCCTCCAAGAGATCCCCAAGAGCCAAGGCCACGGTCACGCCCAGTTACAGCATCATAGCGCTGATTCCCAGGCTGCCCTGGTATGGTTTTACAGAGCCGTTCGGCAGAGATCGGCAGAACCATGCTCAGTGCGCTTCGAATCTGCTCTGGCATGGTGGTCGGGCGGGGCTGCAGGCAGCCGGATATCATGCATCTCGAACGAACACAAACCACAGACATACGTACAGCCAACAAAAAGCACAACTCCTGGTCGTGCGTATCTGATCATGTGTCTGTTTGCTTCCGTACAGGCCCTGAACCTTGATGAGGCTGCTGCGGTGGCGCCACTGTTGCCGAGCTCTAAAGTACAAGAGGAGAGCGAAAGACGGAGTGGCAAAAGAGACTGTCATCAGCGCGAAGTAATCCTCGTGGCACGATTGACGTCTCACATTCAATCAACGAAGCTGTCCAAACACCTTCGCCCTTTTGGATTGTTCTCCCATGAGGATCTCCTCTGGCCTAAACGACCAGCGATCTTAGTCCTCGTAGCACGGCTTATTCACCACGAACCAGCCGATGGGGACCACGATCTGCAGGATCGTGAGGATCCACGTGGTGGAACGCCAGATGTGGCACCTGAGTCTGCCCCTGAAGTCTGGAATAAACCTGGCGGGCACTGAGGGCGAGGTGCAGTAAGATATTTGCTTGCCGATCAAGCCCTCTGCAGAGAGACGAGCACTCGCTGGGACCGCTGGTCGGACCGCTCCGGCACGATCGTTATCGACTCCGGCTGCCTGTGAATCGGGCGCCGCAGCGCTGCCCGTGCCCCCGCTACCGCCTGGTGCGGCAGCCCTGGATGAATCACCTCCTGGGGCAAGCGGAGACGTAAGCTGGCTCATTTCAACATTGTCCTTTCTGTTGCCCGTGCCACCGACTGCCTGCGTCTGAAGACACTCGGCAGCGATCATGACCCGTGTCTCGCACCGAGCAAGGTTGGCCTCTGCACCGGCTTTGAGAAGATTTCCCATGTCATCAAAAGTGATGTTCCAGATTTGGTCGGCTGCTTCGGGTGTTCTGGCGGTGATGTCTCGGAGGGTCAACGGGCACTGCGACAACATGATCAGGTTGTAAGAAGCTTGCCTCTGAAATTCGGAATCCCCAATGCCAAGGTAGCCACATATGTCACCCGTAAGGTCGTCGAGCGTGAAAAGGAAAAGTAGCTGCAGGGAGTCCACCACGATGCCCTGCGTGTCCTCCTCCTCCCAGAACATCAGCGGCATCGCAAACGCTGTGCCCAAGCAAACCCACGCGTTGGCAAAGACGCCTATTCCGCTGCGGAGGGCGTCTGATGGTAATTGCGCCGACTTGCTCGCATTTTCGAGCTCGTCGACTGCGTACTGCCACGTGATGAACAGACCCAGGAACAAGAACATTACGCCCATCACCGTGGTGAGGCTCTCGTCAAAACCACTTCCCAAACAGATCGCCTCGCGGAAAGTAAGACGCGCCCAGAGCGCACTCAAATCACGGAGCTGATTCGTCTCTCTGTGCCACATCTCCAGCCCTGTGATGAACACTCCAACCACCTGCACGGTAAAGACCAGGAGGGCGATCGTGTGGTTTTTCCACCATTCCGCGCGCTGCTCCTTCTCGCGAGGCAGCAGTACGGGCCCGAAGCGGGAGACAGGGCACTCGAGAAACTCATCCAGCGGCCTGAAGCCGAGCGGTGCCTCTGCAATGCCAGCAGCTGTTCCTCCGGGACATCCGCGGACAGCGGTGGCCTTCAGCGCCAGGTGCAAGGCCTCGACGCGCTCGTCCAGTGTCGCCGCACGTCCCCCGAGCAGCGGCGCATGTTCCTCCGCGAGCTCGCGCATCTGCTGGCCCAGGTCATCGCAGTGCTTGAGGAATTCCTGCATGTGGCTGATGTAGCGATAGATGTTGCCCGTCGGCGCCAGCGTGGCCCACAATCTGCCGAAATGCCGCTCGTGCCTGTCCTCGAGTACTTCCGACATCATGGTACCATACAGCACAGTGAACGCTCTGCCGCCGCTGAGGTCATCCGAAGTGAGCTCACCAAAAGAGGCTGAGAGTCTTCGTGCCATGCTGCAGTTCTCAACGCAGTGTGAAGGACAATGAGAGCACCCGCTGCGAAGAGATAAAATAAGCAATGCGAGCGTGATCCAGAACTGCTGCCTTGAGCCAACATGGTCATGCAAGAAAAGGCAGATGATGCGGAGGATGGGAGACCTGGGCGGCGCCAGACAACCAATCTCTCGCATGGCAGACACGACTATCCAGGACGCAGCAGATCCCCGGTAAGATTGCGACGCCTCACGGGCAGCTCTCGGGATGCCGATGGACGGAAAAGGAACGAAGGGGCGGGCCGGGTGCACCCTGCGCTAATAACAATCTGCGACTGCAACTGCGACTGCGACCAGCATTGCGCACCCTGTAGGTGCCGCAGGTTGGGGCCGAAGCACCCACTACAGCTTCAAGCGCCAGACAAAAATCCTGCAATGGGGCGTTCCATGCATCTCGCGTGGCACACCTCAGCAGCAGCTAAACAGCACCTCGTGCCTTACAGCCGTCTGCAAAAGCGTTCTGCCCTACTGGGGCCAACAATCAGAAAACTTCGTGTCCCAGACTGGCTACCTACCAGACCATCCCAACCTATCCGGAAGACCCAAATTTCGGGTTGCGGGGGGGGGTATGGGCTCCACATGTGTTCTCCAATGTTCCCCGACGCCCCCCCCCCACTGGGAATGGAGGGCAAATTAGGGCCTTCGGGTTGGCCTGGGGTGGTGTGGTGACTGGTGACTGACAACCTCGTGCTCGGACGGGATTCGCAGGGCTGGCCCGGGGAGACGGCGAGGAGGCCCTCACGGCTCACGCCGTCGAGCGCGACGCCCGCGCCCTTGCACGCCGACCGCCGGATCCGTGGGGCGCGCCACTGAGATGTGCATCCCCTAAAACGCTCCGGGCCAACCGGCCAGCAGGCGAGTGAGACTGCCTGCTGTCACCTATCCACAGCTCCCCCAAGCGAGTCCAGACTGGTAGAGTCTCACCAACCCGCTCCCAAGCTGGCTCGTCATGTCGCTCTCTGGAGATTTCCCGACATATCCGCACACTCCCACAGGACCCGCGACGCCGTACAGTATGATTATTGAACGGCCTCAAGAGGTACCAAAATGATCTAGGGTATGTCGAACGTTCTCCAAAAGCCTTGAGGCTATTCTCAGAAAGCATACGAGGGCCCCCGATTGGCGTCCAAAAGAACGCCCTGTTGGCGTCCAAACCACTAGATTCCGTGGGGGTGTCCAAGACATCATCGCCGAAAGCCCAGAACGGCATGAGGAGGAGGAGGAGGAAGGAAATGTCGGGAGGAGAGGGTCGGGGGAGAACAACGGAGTGAAGGGAAAGGGAGGGGAAGCGAGGTGAAGGGCGGCCCTCGGTGAACGCGCCTGCGACGCCGCAGAGGCGGACAGCTGCTGCCACCGCAGTCGTCGGGGCACGAGCTCTGGCTGCATCGGCGGGTCATCCGAAACCCTCGATGCTGCCGCAGCTGGCGCACTGGCCTGCGGCGAGGCTGGCGCGGGCTCGGGGGCCTGCGGGCGCGGGCGAGGCAGCAACACGGAGAAATCCGAGCGAGGAGCGGGAAGCCGAAAGTTAAACCAGTTCAACAATCGCACCGTCTTTAAATCGAGTGATGCTGGCGATCGGCTTCAAAGAGTAACCCTGCCAGATCCCACAAAACGGCGGAACACATCGTTTAAACTAAAGCATCGTCACATTCGTGGTTCATGTTTCTGATGTATACTATAAACGCACCCAGCATGCTCGTGCAAACCTTGATCTCATCGAATACAAGATTCTGCATCTCGAGAAACCAACCTTTCAAACTACGGGGTGCTACGTTCTCGAAATCGTTGCCTTCGATACCATATCACGATTCGTTGCGCGCCACTGCTTAGATTAGCTCGTCTGCAAAAAACGCTGCATGCATGTCAAGGTCACGCACTGGAAAGATTGCTCGCAGCATTGCGCCATCCAGCGCTCCAGGCAAACACAATCCATCCTGTGGGGATCGAAACTATAATACTGGACTGGATAGTCGTCAATTGAAACATGCATTGGAGACTTTGGCTGACGAATTTACACACTTGTTGGACAAGGCCAAAAATTGAAGTACGCACCTCGATGTCTCACGTTGGTAAGCCGTATCGAATATGTTGTTTATGCAAATACGTTCTGGTTTAAAGTTTCCACGGCACGGGAAGTCCGCCAAACACTCTATTCATGCGTATCCACCCGTGCCCGTCGCATGCACAACACTCGATTCCAATTCGGCTAGTAAGCATTATGTTCAGCTTCGAAGCACTGCTGCCACCGCATTGAACTGTTCCACTCTGGTTTCGAGCAGTTTGTTGCGTCTCTGGCGCACATCTGTCGAACATAAACTAATTCCCAAATGCTGTTCTTCATTTGGTCGGATTTTGGCCAGCGGACCGATGGCAATGAAGACAGACAGTCGATGAAGCCAAGATTAAGTCACGTGTCCTCGAAATCGGCCTCTGGGCAGCTCCACGGACCACACCAACGACAAACCTGGAAATTGCCGCGGCATGTAGGAAGGCTGGGACTCGACTGGGACCGCCACGGTGTTCTCTGAGGCTTGAGCTGGAGTGTCCTCAGGTCCTCCGAATCCTTGGCCCTCCGTCCTGCGGAGCCTTGCAGGGACCCACGGCCCGGGGTTCTGAGTCGAAAGTGAGCCTGGTAGCTCAAATATGGCATATAGCCTGGCAAATTGCATCCATCGCTCTGCTGTGAAGGTACAGTATGAGGGGTGGATGAGTAAGATAGGATAAGATCGATGTAATGATCTTTCCAGCACATAGCGAACACTCGCGGTGTCCGGGCAAATAGCGAATACCATCAGGTATCCGGGCAAATAGGGCGCGCGTGCCTTGGGCCAAAGGCAACGGCGCGCGAGCTATGCTCCCGATACTGTAACATCTCCCAAAGAGCTACCCTTAAAGTCGGGAGGGGAGGAGACGGAGAGCATAGTCGCACGCAAAGATCGCGCGCACGACTCTTTGCAAAGAAAAGAAAACAGTGCGTACAGTCTGGTCAAACACCAGACTGCAAGGCGAGTTTCCTCGCAATGTATTTCACGCAAATACAGGACAGCCCCTTCAAACAATGAAGGGCTATCGGCTCAGTTAGAGGTAAGCCAAAATTAGGCCATACCTCACCAAGCAAATGTGTATTAAGGCAAAGAGCCTGAGTTGTACGAAGCCGGCTCGTTGCCAGGCGTGAAATATAAGGCTCGTTTCCGAGCAGCTAAAGGGGCGCCTTTATAGTAGGCGCCCGTGCTGGCAAACTGGACCGCGAGGGCAACAAGGACAGACTAAAATTGATTAGACTTAGGTTTGTCTCTGTCCTCGGGACCCCGAAAGGGAACAAATTGCTTCACGTCATACTTAAATGACTGAGTGCCTGACATCACTTCCAGAAGCAGCTCCCGATCGATGCTTCCCTTTGTATGCCCATCTGCGGTCATATCCCTAGTATCACACCATTGCACGTTATGTACTATACCTATATCCATGAGCTCACGTATCCAGCTGATATGTCCAAGCAGAGTCCGTTCTGTAGGTATTTTGAGATCCCTGCTTGATAAAGATTTGTAGACGGACTCGGCGTCTATGGTAAGAGAGACTTTGATAGCAAGGCCTCCAACTTCACGCATGTCTCGTAGTTGTCGTGGAGTCAAAGCCCCTGCCTTAAGCTCGTGGAGAGTAATGAGCGTAGGGTAACACTCATCAAGGTTATGTGCGGCTGCAAGTGCCTCCGCAGCATAACTGGACCTCACCTGTAATCGGTGTGATTTGCATAGTCCGTCACAGAGGTGAACGACGGACTTGCCTTGGGGCGAGTTTCCTCGCCGTAGTACGTTGGCCCCGCGTATGCCGTAGCCCTTGGTCTCGTCATCCTCCTCCCCGGTAAGCTTCCGATACCCCGAATCGCTATGGATGTCAACTTCATTCGTCGGCTTCATCCGAGGGAAGGTGATACGTTTCGGACTGCTGATCAGCTTTCGCGTCACAGCATTCAAACGTCTTGACGAACATGTCGGTAATGAGTTTCGTGGCTTTGGCGTCGGCCGCCGCTCCTGTAAGTTCTAGGTGTGTGATAGGACGTAGTTGTTTAATATACTCGTCCTGGTCCATGATCACATCTCCCTGATCATTCTTAGTGTAGCGAACGGCGCAGTTCGTATATGTGTGCTTGTTGAGCTTGCATTTGCCAAATACCTTTTCGACGCGTTGTACATAGTCGTCTATATTTTTCTCTAGACCTGTCATGTTAATATCATCGACATGTTTTGCCGTCAGAAGGTCTTGGCTGAATTCAAATTCAGGATCGTAGCTGGTCGGTGCAAGTCCTATAGCTCGTGTGGTCGTACGAAGTTTGAGAGAGAACGCTCTTGGAGCGTCCTTAGTACCCGTTCCTGGTTTGAGGCATCTAAGACAGCGTCGACTTTCGTCGTAGGATGAGAAGCCGGGTAAGGTACGAAGTACCTGAGCGCTTCCTGGTGGAAGAGTAAAGCAAACCATGCGAGTTTCCTCGCCGGTGGCATGGGCAAGTTCCTCATAGGTCCAACCTTTTAGGAACGCCTTATCGATATCCATGGATGCTAAGATCCACTCTGGATGACATGCCGCTTCACTTGCCAGGAGTCGTTGGAACTGCCTTCGGGCGGTTCCCGAGAATGTTTCCACATCAAAAGCCTCAGTATCCATAAATCCACGAAGGACCAGTCTGAGACGAATGGTTTTGACGTTCTCGGTACCCATCTTTACGGACTTCCACTTGCATACGTATCTGGATGTCATGATGTTGGAAGCTTCGGAAAAAAAAACGTACATCTCAAAGCATCGGTTATCAATCCAGATTTTGAGCTCAGTATATAAGGCTTCACTAACCTCCTTTGGATGTGCTGCTATGTCGGCTTTGGTCAGTAGATCATCTTCTTTGACAACCACAGCACGTTTAGCAGCAGAGGATACATATACTCTCATCGTTGCGACCATATCGGTATCGAGCTGTGCAAGTTGAGTCTGATCCAACACTATTTTTGACATTTCTGATGTAAAGCATAGTTCAACGTAAAGACCGTATTCATCATTGTCTAGAAAGTAGCTCTCGTCAGTTGTGTTTGAACAAAGCGATACTAGACAGGACTCACATGATTTCGGCTCGTCTCCGAGCATATCTGATGATGTAATATCATCTTCGTCCACAAATGCTGAAACCAAAACACATTGGTCGGGCAGCATGGTTGTTGGGACGCAATCAAGATAATCATCGGTAATCGTCGTAGGATGAAGGTCCATACGTAGCTCGTCGTACCACTCTTCCAGCATCATAGCTTCAATATTGTGTTCCTCATTTTCCTCATAGATTGTCGACAGACGGCCTTCGCTCGGCGATGAAGCATCTGGTGTGTCTGGAGAAGGCCTGTTTCCAGGCGACTCGTGTTCTCCAGACGTGTTGCTTGGACGCTGATATTTAGCCAAATCGTCATGGAATCCTAAGGAAGGGACACGTGAAGTCAAGCATTGAATAAGTCTGGAGTGAGTGCTACCAGTGATCTGAGAAATGTGTAAGCCAATGCCCACACGTTCGTAATAGTGGAACGCCGGGCTGATGTCGTTGTCATAGTGGATCAGCGTAGACCCGGTGGCGTACTTTACTGCAGGTAGCCTTGACACACTCTTAGCCAATCGAACTGCTACTACATGTTCTACTCGGAAGTAATTTCGTACGAGATACTGTAGTGCTAAGTGTACGCGCGGGTGAAACTTGCTGTCGTCTGACAGATTAAGGTTTCCCTTGTAATCGGGGATGTACCCGAAAACTTTGGCAGGTTTCCCTGCGCTGAGGTGTGCCACATAAGCAAGGACGGTTTGCATGGCCATATTATCCATGCCAAGTTCCCGTGTGAGGAGACATTCGATGTATAGTGTGTGACGAGCATCAGGATACATCACAATTACCTCACGAGATCCTGCCTTGACAACAATATGTCCTCTTTCAGGCACATTTCGGATCACCGGGAATGGGCCATTCCAGCCTCCATGGTCGTCCTTGGTGGCAGTAGGTCGGTGGTAGTCGACCAAATCCCCTGATGAGTAGAGGCGAGCACCATCAGGAGTCGTCTTAGCCCTAAGAGCCCGATTTGTCTTGGCCACAGCAGTAGCCTGAGTTATAGCTTCTAGGCTGACTTCCCTTACACGACGTTCTCGTTCGTGTCCTGAAGTCTCGGGTCCCTTGGGAAAGTCAAGGGTATCGAGATCAGGAAGGAAGGAGGGCTGACGTCCTGTGTGTGCCTGATATGGCGATACTCCGTTATAAAACGTAAACGCATTAGTAACGAAGATGCCTTCCGCCAATACTCTAGTGAATACAACAGGGATGTTGTGTCTATTCAATTCTTCCTCAATCATGTGGAGGACGCCTCTGAGAATGCCGTTTCGTGACTCAATTGAAGTCGCGTGTTGGCCAGGTGCTCGGATACGAAGTTCCGTGCCCTTATTGGCCA